GTTTACTAAAAATGGAAGAATGCAATTCATGAGCTACATGTCTGTGATCTATACAACTTAGAGTAAAGTTGATGAGCAAGAACTTAATGAAGTAGGTTTTTGATATAACAGGCTGTCAGGTGAATACATGGAAAACTTGTTTCATACAAAATTGTAACTGTGTGAATTCTGCTGAGAAAATAAGAGGTAAATTAAGCAAAAAAAATGGATATTATAAGAAAGACAAATATATCATGATCTCATATAAGTTAAACAACAGTAATAACCTTGAGAGACTTAATTTAATTTTTATATACCTACCATTCACCAGTCAGAAAATGACATGAGATCATATATATAAAAGTGGTATGCTGTAAAACTTAAAAATGAAATGAAATCCCAGCCCTTGGGGGGCTGAGAGAGGAGAATTGCTGTGAATTTGAGACCAGCCTGGGCTACACAGTGAGTTCCAGGTCAGTCTCAACTACATAGTGAGACTGTCTCAAAACAAAACAAAAGACCCCCGCCCCCCCCCCCCACCTCAAGTAGTTGCAAAAGCTTGCAGCACAATGGAAAGATATGTAGTGGGTAATTGATATGCTGAAGGAAACAGGGTCACTGCTACGGAAAACAACACAAGAAAGGTGCAGAAAATCTGCCTGCTGACAAAAAGTGCATTGATTCCTTTTGGCACATTTCTTTCCAGATAACGATCATAGCAGAGATGGTTTCATTAAAAACAAAATAGAATAGTGAAACTAAAATGACAATGGACAAATACACATAAATATGCATCAAAGCATTTCTGTTGTGGCAAAAATTGGAGTGAACCTATGTACAACTTAAGAGGATGACCCCTCATTCTCATCAAAGGGATGGAGAGGAATTCAGTTACATTACTTAACAGTTCCATGGCAGAACTAGGTCCGAGAATCCTACTGTTGGATGATGGAAAGATACTAGGAATGTGTATGTATGAATCACTAGTATAACAATTTAGAGGTTTCAAAGTTTATTCAGTGTGTTGATGCACTTTTCCACTTCATTGTTTCTTGTTCATTTTGAAAATCTTTGGACCTGGGGAGTGAAAAGGTGTTACTGAATTTTGTACTGTGCCTGAAGAGCTCTCTGATGAATTGAAAAATGAGGGTTGACATTTGGTACAGGTTTCTGGGAATTAACAGACAATAGAGCATCAAATTCTAGTTCTTGCTAAAACCTTTTTTATAGTTAAGCTGTATGGATGGTTTTCAGAATGTTGCATCTGAGTTGTATTAAAGTCAGAACACCTTCAGTGATTACAAGGCCTGGGGATAGAGCCAACTTTTAAGCATCTGTTATTAGGTAACTCACTCCTTTTGGAGGGAGTCGTCAATATATTTGAGGTTAGGGGAGGAAGAAAAAAGGGATAGTTTGAGGGCTATCTTAACACCCTTCAGTCCCTAATGACAGAAGTCCCATTGACTGGGTAGTTTATACACAACAGGAATTTGTTCTTTCTGATCTGCAGCCTGGGATATTCAAGATGGAAACACCTGCAGACACACATTGTCTGCTATCTTCATAGGCAGATGTCTTCTCAGTGTAACTTCACATGGGAGACAGGGCAAGGCCTCTTTAATAAGCAAATTGGTCCCATTATAGCACACAGCCCACATGATCTTGGCACCCACCTCGTAATCCATCATGTTGCAGGTAGAATTTCAACACAGGAATTTTAAGGAACACTCACATTTAGACTACAGTGAGAAATGAGCTGAAGAAGAGAGGGTTTGCAAGGCTTATTGTGAGTGCACCATAGGAGGTATCAGGTTACTAGGTACTTTCTGTTTTGGTGTTAATTTTACAAAAGAGCTAATCTGATGTATTAGGCAAGCACGCAGGGTGGTTTATGCCATGGTCTCAGGGAAAGCTTGGTAATATTCTTCTCAGGGCTAGAAGGATGAAACATGCGATAGTGGAAGAGAAAACAGTCCCATGACAGAGTTTAGATTCTAGTACGTGGAGGCTTCTTTAAAGTTACCATGTTATCTGACCCACATCCCACATTCTGGGAAAAGAACTCAGGGTCTTATGCTAGGTAAGTGCTCTACCACTGAGCTACATCCTCAGTTCTATCATTCTTGGATAGAGCCAGTGACCTGAAGGCACTGTTGCCTTTGCACATTCCACATGTGGAATCTAAGAATACTTATTATGCAGAGAATTTCTGTTTGTAAAAGAGCGTATTTCCATAGATGGCAATTTGATTATATTTGATTTGACTTGGGATGCTGCCTCTTTTTAAGATAGACTTAAATTTCAGTGAAGTTCAGTGTTTTATATAACTTTCATTTTTTCTTCTGAGAAGTATCCTGAAGTTCTTTTTTAAATTGTCTATGAAAATAATATTCATAATTTGATTGGATACTCAATATTTGCTTGAATCACATGTGCATTTCCTCCATATTGTCATGCTTACAACCGATGACCATTGTAATGAAAATAAAACAGCAATTTTCTCTGGTGACTCAGCTTGTTAAAAGGTGGCATATGAGTTGTCCAGGGTGCTGTTTTTTCCTTGTGATTATTTTCGTGTTTGCACGCATCTTGTAAGGTTCAAGAGTAGAGAAGGAAGACTAATCTGTTGGGAATATGTTGCTGTTAAGTGCTAGCTGTGGCTGAACCTGCCCGTGAGGGAGGAGTCAGTTGACTCATCATACTGATACATCATTTATCTATTCTGTTTCCTTGACCTCTACCCAGTACTTCCCCTGGCGGCCTAATCGAAAGTAAACTGTTTTATTATTCATTTCAGAACCTGTGTTTTAATAAATGCTTTTGAAATTACTAACTGTAGTATAAAAGTGATAGGTGACATAAGCAGGTAAATCTGAATGACCTGGTGAGAGTCACAGTGACTCAAATAGGTGGGGCAGGAATTTATGATGCTCTTTCTCTAAAAGAGTAACTGTGCCAAACTTTCCTGACATTTTATATGTTGCCCAACTCATATTAGCCTCTAATTGATATCATTGAAAGATTATACTTTAAAATAAAAGTTACTTTAAGAAATTCATTGCCAACCTAGTGGTCAACAACTGCAAATACTTTCTTGATTTATACTATGCCAGAATAATGTTCCTACTAAGTAATGCTTCAGTTATTAGTTCTTCAATGCATTGCAAGAATACCACCAATAATAAAATTACAGAAATCCCAGTTAATAGGGGACAATTAGAGAATCAAATCTGCTATAAATCTGCTCAGTTCTTTTCTTGATTCTCAACTAGTGATTAGAGAAAATAATGTGGTATGAAGGGAGAAAGCTTTTCTTTCTACATGACTTTCAGTACCCAAATCAGAAATTAGGAATCATGGAATTTTATAGTTTTAGGAAATTAAAATTAGGGGTTGGGGCTGAGAATGTAGCTCACTGGTAGAGCACGTGACTAACATCCCCAGTGTACAAAACAAAAAAGAAAAAAGGGGTATGGCTTTATTATCTATATTAAGGTGTGTAAAGATCTTTGTGTGAAATGAGAAGCAAGACTTGTCATGTAGAGGTACAAGATCCCAACAATGAATGTAACTGTGCTGTATCCCTAAAGTGTACCAATAAACCAATTAAAACTGGAAAAAAAAAGATCTTTGTGTGAAATGAGAAGCAAGACTTGTCATGTAGAGGTACAAGATCCCAACAATGAATGTAACTGTGCTGTATCCCTAAAGTGTACCAATAAACCAATTAAAACTGGAAAAAAAAAGATCTTTGTGTGAACAAACTACTAAAACAGAAAAACATCTTTTGTTTGCCAAACTAAATCTTCATAAGCCATTGCTTTGTAATTTTGAATACTGTTAAACAACATTCTAAAGGCTATTAAATTGAGACTTTTTAATTATACATAAAATCTCTGGAATGTTGAATGAGTGACATTCCATAGGCTTCAGAGTTTTTTTCTTCCTTTTGTCCATTGTGAAGAGGAAACCAGTAAATTAGAATATTTGATTTGTTTTCCCTTTATTTGCTTTCCTATTGCAGCTCTGTTACAAAATAAATAATTATTTACTCTGTGGATGAATTGCTGAATAGGAAATTACTCTTTCAAGATAGTGTTTTTGACAGCAATTAATGATTAATTATCTAAGCTTACATTGAAAGAAAAACATTATTATAGTATTGAATTATAACATGGCCTGGCTCTGTGTCATTGGACAACGAAAACATAGAATTTATAATCTAGATTTAGAAACAAAATTATACTACTCTAAGTATGGTTGTGAAAGTTAAGTTTCTTTCTTAATGTGGCAGAGTATAGAGGCATACATACCTTTGTAGTATCTATCACATTAGCAAACTAGTTCAATATTAGACTTAGATAATTTGGAGAAGCCCTGGTACATTCAATTTTTACCCATTTTGCTACGGTAACAGTGCAATCCTGGGCTTAAACTGAGCTAGCACTAACTAGTTAACTATTTCAGTAAGTTCCTCTGCATCCTTTAAATCATGTTTTAAAGCTATCTTTTAATTATTATTGTTAGATTTTTGGATTGAACTCAGGTCCTTGCATTTGCGAGGCAGATGGCAGAACCACTGAGCCAAGTCCCCGGCTCAAAGCTATCTTTTAAAATAAGGATCAGTTTGAGAGGGGAAAAAAAACCCATTTTATTTTATTTTAGGAAAAGTATTCTTAGGGCCAAGGGAACTAAATTATAATGAAGAGATTCTTAAACTGGGTATAAATAATAGATGTGAAACTATTATAAAGTCTGGGCTTTGTATATAAAGGTGTCCAAATAGCTCCAGGAAGACTGTGTCACCGTTGTGTGCAGAAGAATTCTTGTCTCTTTCTTGACTTGTGTTTTTTTTTCTGTGTTTTGATTGTTGTTGCTTGCTTTCTGATGGGCTCTTAGCTCTGAATAATACATTGGGGTTGGGCTAGTGCTACATGTCATTTATGAGAATGCTTCTAAGAACATAGAACTCATATTGACAGTCTTGTAATTGCATATATTATTTCTTTGTTTAATTTCAGTTTGATTAATAAGCTTAAACCTGGCGTCATTAAGAAGATTAATAGACTATCCACACCAATAGCAGGTTTGGTAAGTAATTATCTTCAAAACTAGATTTCTTTTTTTTACTTTCATTTTTATTTGACAAATAATTGTGTATATTTACAGGGTACAATATGATATGGTGTTTTATTGCACAGTAGGGTGATTATAGTTAATAACAATGTACTGTATGTTTTAGAATAGCTACGAAGGGATTATTTATTGTTCTCACTTCAACACTAGATTTTTTTTTTGTCTTGGAAATGTTAAAAAAGGTGGCATAGATTTTCTTACCTGCAATTACTATAGAAATTGGGTTAGATTTGTTTGTTTGTTTGTTTATTTATTTGAAGAAAAGTATCTTTAGCTATGTCCTCCATATATTGTCATTTCCTTTCTTCATTTCCCTTCTGGTGGGAGGCATTTATTTATTGTGTTTGTTTTGACTTTTTTTTTTTTTTTTTCACCTCAAACTTGATGTATTCCCTCTCGAGTTATTTCTTCCACACATTGCATTTGTGTAGGTCAAGTTTTGCCTGAAGCCTATCTCTGCGTATGTTTTTTTCAAATTGACCACTGAGGCTCCTAGACTCACAGGGGTTCTTGAGTTATTATGTTTCTCCTGCTTTCTGTTTATGTATTATTTTCACTCATCATGTAGAGTTAAGTATATTTGCAAGTATATTAAAGGCTGCTAGGTTGTTGGGTTTATGCAATAGGTTTCCTACTAATATCCTCTGTGATATTGGACAAGTCACTGTCTTTGTCACAGTCATTATCCATAAAATGACAGTGTTGATTATATGGATTTCTTCTAGCTTTAAGTTCAAGATTTTGTGTATGAAAAGTACCCTACACCACCATTATGTAGTTATTCTGATGGGTCAAGACACTGGAGTGACGAGTAATAACAGGAGCTATGTTTTTGGAAATAATTTGTAATTAAATGCAATTGATGGATAATTTAAAAAATCTTAGAGATCCTAAAAGAAAAATCAGTGCTGATCATATGAGTCAGAAAATTTTTCACAGAACACTAAAGTTTAAGACTGCTAAAGCTAGAATTAGAAACAAACTATCTTTGGAATAGTTACATGTTTATAATATGCATTGAAAAGAACTTCTGTTGAGTCATTCATGTGTTTAAAGGTGTCAACAGCATGAGTTCTGCTTTTTTTATCCTTCTTCTTCTTCCTTTTTTTGGTACTGGGGATCAAACTTGGGACCTTGTGCTTGTAAGGCAGGCAGTGGAACCACTGAGCTAAATCCCTAGCTCTATGAGTATTGTTTTTAAAGATAGTGACCCCAAAGTTTCTGGGTTTCCAGGAGGCATGTAAAGCTCATGAAAATCTTGACAGAGATAAGTTTTGCAAAGTGTTTATTGTTGGAAAATACCTGTCTGGGAGAGAAAAAATAAAACATTTTTACAGTTTTCACTTGAAATATTGAAAAAAAAAAAAAAGTTGCCAAGGGAGATAGTTCCAATATTAATTCTTTCTTACTAGGTTGCCTCTATTCGGTGTCTTTCATGAAAAGGCAGCTGATCTGATGTTTTTATTGGTCTCAGATTTGGTTAGTTAAAAAGCTCCATGTATACCTGTTTTA